GAGTAGTAAACAGGTATTCAAAGAATATATATAGTTATACATAGTATATAATATGTATATAGTGATAGTATATGTGAAAAAATGTGCCTATACTATCACTATATATAAACTGCCTGTTTCTTTATCTCAACAGCAATGAAAGGATTGTAAAGCTGCTATCAAATTTGACACAAGTCTACCGCTTCTGTGATCAAGTGAAGAGTTTTATTCTGGGCTCTCTCCAGGACTTCCAACTTGGTCTGCGCAGCTGAAACCATAAGTTCACTGCCATATTTAAGAACTGGTTTTATACAGGTGTTGTAAGTGAGATTTAGAGTGTCCTGGGACAGCCCCACATTGCACCAGCCAGTTTCCTTTTTTTTTTATATGGTAATCGCACTGTGTCTGATAAACTCTGAGTGAAGAAAATGTTTGAAGAACTCGCGTGTATTGGCAAGAAGCCCTCGCGTGCTACTTTGGCGCATTGTGTAAAGATCTCTCCCTTATTTCATGCTATGTAATAAGTATTTCCCACGTAAAAAGCATACAGAGGGAAGAATGTAAAAAAATGCATTATCACGGAAAGGCTTTAAGTGATTAACACTTTGAAAATTTTACTCAAAGGAAGCGAGAACCCTCACGCAGCATATGCACACTCTCACATGTATACTGTGAGCTCATTGTTAGATGGGAATGATCCAAAGACTCAAGATAGCCGGAATTGTTTGGGTTTATTGAAAAGGAATACAAAAAAACATCAAGGGATGAGATTTCAGAGTTTGTCATCCATGACAGATAACACTGAGATATCTGGTTTCAACATTTTTTTAAATATTTGTTAATATTTCACTTGCAGTTGCTTGAAAAGCAACTTCGATGGGATTTTTAAAATCGAGATAATTTGAACAGCTCTTTAATTAGATCTTACCATTAAGAAATCTCATTACAGGAATTTAGGCCCGGAGAATGTGGTAGTCAACATTATAATTCAGATGACTATAAATTACGATATTTATACCAAACCTGACCACTGGTGCAAGAAAATAATGCATTTCCGCGGCTTCGTTCTAAGTCATTGGTAGGCAGGGAAATGAAATCTTATTTTAGTCAATCAAGAAATAACGCTGTTTCGAATTAAATAAGCTGTACACAACATGCCCTGCCATTAAGAGTCTTACAAAGGATTAATAAGACTTCTTGTGAGGAAAGAGAAGAGTGACTGTTAAAACTGTTGGTGTATTTTGGTGTATTTAATTATGGCAAAGCACACTAGGGCTATCTGCCTAAGGGGAGGGATGCCTTTGTGGAGGACTTTCTAAGGGAAACTGGCTCGTATATACGTTACACATGGGGAAAACCACGAAAACGCCCATGCAGCCAGCCCGTTTGCGGGATTCGAACCTCGGACCGAACTACCAGTGTTCAGCAATAAATAAAACATACTGAATATCCGTTCTTTTAATAATTTTTGGTGTTGGCGATAATTTTCAAAATCGCGCCAAGGCTGCACCGTATACTAGGATTTTACCGCGGGATCCAATTCGAAGATTAAGGAACAACGCAATCATTAACATTAACTAAAATAGATAATTAGATAATTTTAGCTTACACCGTCCGTTATACATTAAACACGCAGGCGAAAACGTATTCTGCACTTGCACAGTCGTAAAGGTCCTACGCGCGCGTGTAAATGCCTGTGCGCATGTGTCTAACGTGGTGCATGTGCAGAAAGTTTTTAGCTTTGAGGTCCGAATTATAGATCATTCCAGATTATGGGTGTCCGAATTAACGACTTTTGACTGTATAATTTTCTATAGTTACCATACTATGCGCATAAATGAAAGTAAAATTTATAAATTTTGCAGAAACATAATCTTAGAGCATGCAGCATCTACCTTAAAAATTTTAATTTATGAAAAATGAGTCAGTTTTAACCAAATCATTAAATTAAATCAAACTTAAATCCTATCAACCAAATCATTAAGTTTAATAGTAAAATAGTCATTAACTATTTTAATTATACATCTTTGCAATGAATCATTTTATTTGGAATCAGAAATTTAAAACAAAAAATTGCACTCTGCAATTTTTGCACACTGCCAAGCATGCAATTTTATCCGTATGTGAAGAATGATAAAAATACTTACCTTCTTCCTATCACAGGTATCACGTTTTGATTCTGTTAATTTACTCATCTTTCATTCATATTATTTCACTTAATTTTTATTAATTTTTAAATTTACTCATTTTTATTTAATTTAGTATCTACTTATCAATTTAACTTTATTGACTTAATTTACCTTAACTTTATTTATAAATATTTTTATCCCTTAATATTTTATTTATTGTTTTATCTATCATTATTTTATTCATTTATTTTTATATATCCTTACTGGTGGCCTTCCATAAAACTCCAGTATTCCTAATAAAGCAATAAACTTTTTAATTAATTGATAAATTATCAGAGTTTTGGGATTTTGATTACTAAAGATTTGGGGACCCCAGGAAAACAGATGACAATGAGGCAATCTCTTCATTGTTTCTCCTAACCCTAACCACTTCCCCCCCCTAGTTATGACTGATTATTTTATTAATAATTAAAGTAGCTTTATAAACTTGATTTTAAATGAAAAAATGTGCCTGTTTGATGCATGCTGCTATGCATTATTTTTTATTCTCCTTAATTCTATAAAAAAAAATATGGGTACTATTCGGTTTCGAGGGCCGTAAAAAAATTGCAGCGAAAATGTATGCGCAAAAGCGCCAAATCTAGCAAACGCGCCCATTTAACAGCGCGCCAAATCTAGCGTACGCGCTGATTTCAGATTGCGTAAGTTTATATAGTTCCTGTATTTCTTAAGACGCCATTGAAATACTAGTTTAATTTTAAATCATTTTTTTGATTTTAAATCCTTTTTTGATATCCTATGGATTTAACAATATGGGAATTGCCATGACGAAAAGTCGGCAATAGAATTTTGGGTAAAGTGCAGAATCGCCCACTGCTTGACGCGTTTTTAAGAATTGCACATACTCGGTATCCATGTGCACATCGACCTATTTTCACTTAAAAAAAATTCCCAGAATTGCACAAAAATGGCACTGCGCACACCCTTGACTTTATCTATGTACACATCGACCTATGTTCACTTAAAAAGTAAAATAAAATTGACAAAAATCCAATTGCTTTTTACCCTTGTAAAAAGCGGCAAACAAGTAAGTGAGCTATTCTGCACTTTACCGAGAATATTTTCAAAGAAAAGGCATCATTCATTATAGAAAATTACGTTTGAACAACCAGCGAGATGAAATTATGCTTTAGCGATAAGTCGGTAGCGAAATAGCGATACAGGCATCCATTCAGTTATGTTTAGCAATTTTTATATAATTATAATAATGATCTGAAAATAGTTATTTACTCTTATGCTTTCATTCAGTCCTGTTTAGCCTTTTTCATATAAATTATAATAATAAAAAAGTATTATATGAAATTAACCTTTCATCTAAATTATAACATCAATCTTAATTAGTTATTTACTATAATACTTCCTTTCTTGACGCAATTATTAGGGTTGCCGCAATTATTTTTGGCAGCATTGGCATTAACAATAGCTTGGCGATTTTTTACGGCCCTCGAAACCGAATAGTACCTACCAAAATATGATACCTGAAGCTATTTGACATCATACACAGCATAATATGAAATATATATAGCATGATTAAAGTAAAAGTTTTACTAGCAAATTATTCAGTATGTTTTATTTTTACACTTGGATTAGAAAAAAATCTGTTTTCAAACTGTTAAGGAAGCAAACTCATTAATTACTTTATCAAGGTTAATTTTTTGAGCTTGATAATTCTCAAACAAGAGCAAGGCTAAACTGTTGACCGTTTCTATCCCATAGCTGCTTCACAAATAATTTATCATTATTATTAATTTCAGTTTTGAGAATGATTTTTTAGCTTTAGCTGCACTCACAGGAACTATTAAGTACATTGCATACATCAAGTTAGTATGTTATGTATACATTGTCAAGCTTATGCTCTTTTCGAAAAATAAAAGTATTAGTAGTATCATTAATGAAGTTTAATTTTGCAGTCTTTTAAAATAAAATCTCCAGTGTTTTGCCACCCGACTCAGGGCCTCAGGTCACTCAGTAGTAACTACGATCTTGTAAATTATATATATTATTTCATAAACAGACAGCTGCCGTTTGGAGGTCTAGATCAGTTTGCTGGTTTTACACTTAGATAATGCTACATACATTTGATTATTCCTCCAAACAGAATGTGCATGCAAAAATACGAAATCAGATAATTGTATTTTGAGACTGTAATATGTCCAGATAAATATGTGAAAAGCCTGATTCTTATAATACCAAGTTCAAATTTATGAACTTTCTGAATATAAAGAAATGTCTTTCTTCCATATCCAATTTTTCCCAAATTGTGTTAAATAAAATTAACACTAGTCTTGTGAATTGTTTGAGTTCATAAACTATTTAAGTTGAATGTTCTCTGTGTGAAATAGAACTTGTATGTGAATTTATACCACACACCAGCAATGTTTGTAAATTAAAACTGAGAGAGATTGGTTCTCTAATTTTGCCAATATCAGCATCAACTCTACCACAGGTGATTTTTATCAGTACTATCAAGGTGAATCGGTAATTTATAACTAATTATAATACATAATGCTCTCTACATAAACCAAGTAAAATTAAATTATGATTCTGATAAAAAAAATTGATTATGAACCTTAAATGAAAAGATTTCCAATTCAGACTTTAAAAATTGTATTACATGCATTTCTTATTTTATATGGCATGCAGTGTTGAAGAACATTAATATGTAAAAACTGTAGCCAGCTTTTGAGTACATATAATGCTAACTTCTATCCATTAATAGAACTTTTTAAATAATTGGTATTCAGCAAAATAAATTAAATATTTTGTATTTATGCCCTCATAAAATCTCAGTATTTACACTAGAAATTTTACACAACTTTTGATGTCTTTAAAGTAATTTATAAATTTTATTTTATTAAAATACAACACTTCTTGGCTAATTGGCATACAAATCTATCCTAAAGATAAAATCATTAACACTTAAGAACAGAGCAAATAGCCTTTAAAATCATATTTTCATTTAAAGAAATGGCTTTCTGTAGAAAAAGTATTGTAATTATATACTCATTAATAATACACATATTAATGAAGATATTATAAACTGTATCCTGTATAAGTAATACAGATACAGATTCTTGAAGTTGCTAATGTGACCCCAGAGGGAGCCTTGACATACGAGTCAAGTCAAAACAAGTTATGCCGGGAATATTGTGTGAAGCACGATGTGTCTGTCTCAATAATGAATAAGGCCATTAACGCAGATCATGTGAAACTGTCATGACCACTGAAAGGAAAGGAGGTAGCAAAGCAAGACAGCCGGAAGGATTGAGGAACGATCAAGACATTGCAAATCAGACTAGAAGGGCTATAGCATGTGCAGGACTAAAGCAAAGTCATAAAATTAATGAAGTCAGCCATGTATAGGCAGTAAATTGCAAAGTTTGAAGTACAGTTCAGTGACAAAAATAAACAATATAATACAGTATAAAGTTCCAAATCCAGACGTACAGTATTCAGAATGATTTAAAATCCAGACTTTCACATCTCTTTTTTTCCCCCCTTTTTTGAAGAAATTCTTTGTATGATCTACGCTTGTCCATTTGATAGGTTTTCATCATAAAATGTGTGAATAGTCCTAATTCTCAATTTCACTTCAGCACAGACATCATTCTTTACTACTTTTACTTTCATCTCCCCATGATTATCACCACACTGCAGCCTGAGAATGACTAATGTAGCAATGTTTAATTTTTTTTTAATTAGTAAGTAATTGAATACCAAAGAGTATTAGTAATTGAATACCAAAGAGCATGGTAAACTTTAAAGCTGAATTTATGCTTGACAATGATTACATACTTCAGCTAATTCTGCTCCGAAGTGCTGAGTATGCTGACAAGGAGAATTTTAACAGAAATTTCTTTCCATATGAAAAAAATAGATTTTATAAACGGTGCTCATAGATCACAAGATTACCTTTAGTGCTATCTGAAATGGTATTAATTGATTTGGTATTCAGCTAAGCACAGGACTGGTGCAAGAGCTGGTTTAGAGAAGGCACTAGGATGCAAAATTTAGAGGTGGCAAAACTTTTGGAATTTAGGCAGCTGCATGGCAGCAGAATTTCAGTCCCACAGAGACTGCACTGGGCTGTAAAATGACTAGCAGGTAAGTTTTAATTATATGTGGGAATTTATTTATTTGGCACTCAGATAAGCCTTAATCATGTGCGGGAAATAGTCATAAATATAATAAAAAATAAACCAATATAATTCATGTTTAACTTGGTCAGCATTCGAGAGAAGCAAGACAGAAGTTAGCGGAATACATTTCTAAGTAGCTAATCTCATGATAATCACCAATAATGTGCAGCAGAAGCTAACTAAGTTTTATGATGATATACACAAATTTGAAGGTTTTAAAATACCGGAAACAAAAAGTAAAATTTTCCAGTTAATGAAATTTGTGGAGAAGTGGTAATAAATGAAGACGATAGAAGTTTTTCTGTGCGATGACAATGCCTCAGTCATCAGTCAACAAACGAACTGCGAAACCTATAGTATAATTCTGAACCCAGAAAATAGCACTATCGGTGAATGAAAAAATTGCGACTGACAGTTTAATGAGAATTTGCGATGCGGCAATCAAAAGACTTGAACAATGGAACTTTGTTACTGAATAAGAAATTATGTATGTCTATAGAATTAAAGAGGCACTACGCACTATTAACACGAAAAAATTAAATGACTTAAATTGAAAGAAATATACAATAAAGCAAACAAATAAAAACTGAGATTTTTTTTTTTTTTTTTTTGGTGAATTTTGTTTGAATCAGATGGAAAGCGATGCGGGACAAGTCACCATGTTTAAGCAATTAGTTTTCGGGGGCAATATTTTAATTGTTTTAAAAATCTGCAAGAGTTTTAATTTAATTATGCTTTTTATTTACCATCCGGGGTTTAATGTTAACTCTTAATTATTATAAACCTAGAAAATTTGCATGTGCCACGTAATTTTTGGCAGTCCATTAATTAAATTTGATTAAATTGATTATAACTGTTTTAAGCAAAATATGAAATCATATCCTCATTATAATTTTACGGCATCCCTACAGTGTGATACAAAACTAAAAATTGTGTTTTAGAATTTCAAATTATACGTTTCTCTGTAATTATTTTCTCATATTTTTCATAACGTCTATTTTTATTATTATGGTGACGCTCATTTACATATGTAAAAACCCCTAAAGAGGGCGAGACTGAAGATTTCTTCCAATTGGCCAACACGCAATTCACTCTGATTGGCTGCTTTTACAATTCAACCGAGGTTATATAATGATGCGCAGAACTGTTTTTTTTTATTGTGAACTTGTTTTATCCCAGGTTGCAGCGTTGCAGACTTTTCTATTCTTTATAGTGCGTTGACCTTTTATTTCTGTTTTAAAATGTCTGGTCGTGGTAAAGGAGGTAAAGTGAAAGGAAAGAGCAAGACTCGTTCTAGTCGTGCAGGACTGCAGTTTCCTGTTGGACGCATTCACAGACTTTTACGCAAAGGTAATTATGCAGAACGCGTTGGTGCGGGTGCTCCTGTCTACCTAGCTGCTGTTCTTGAATATCTTGCCGCCGAAGTTCTTGAATTGGCTGGCAACGCTGCTAGAGACAATAAGAAAACTCGTATAATACCTCGCCATCTCCAGCTAGCTATTCGTAATGATGAAGAATTGAACAAACTTCTTTCGGGTGTGACTATTGCCCAAGGTGGTGTATTGCCGAATATCCAAGCTGTTCTCCTGCCGAAGAAAACTGAGAAAAAGACTTAAAATGGTTTGGAGACAATTCAGTTGTAATAATGAAATGTACCATTCCAAACTGCGCTGTTTTTAGTTTTTTCACGCATGTCTGCCATTGACATTGAACGCGGTCGCTGTGTTTGACGTTTTGTGGCTTGTGTTTATGTGTAAAATAGTCTCGATAAATTTAAATTTGTGTTGGAAGTAAGTAATATTGCTTTTGTTTAACTAGAAATTTCCTTGGGAGCTTTGCATAAAGTATATGAAAAAGGTTTAGTAAAGTGTCGAACTGGGATTACTTCAGTAATATTTTCTGTTCAACGTTGGGAAAATGTCAAAAAAAATTTTAGTTATTTTTCATATTTAAATAGAAAATGAACATTGCTTCTCTTGTAATGTGGAGTTATTAAAATATGAATTGTACTGGTGGCAGATATTTGAAGGTAAACTTGGTATTTAAATTTTGACAAAGTACTTGAATTGTAACAACTGTTCAATGCATTTTTATTTCTAAAAAATTGATTCATTAGTTTTGTCAAAGCTGAAAGATTTTTCTGGCGACTGTTTTATAATGTTACGATGAATTTTAAGTTACTTCTCTCTCATACTGAAAGATAATAAAGTAATAAACAGTGAAATTAAGTTTTTAGTGCAATTCCTTGGTGCTTTATGTATAGTTGACACATTATAAATGAAGATCTCTTCTCCAGGATTTAAAATCTGGCAGCAAGTATGAAATGTGAACAGTAAGCTTTTAGGAAGGGTGGAATCGAAAAAGATGTACACCAGAGAATAACTTGCAGGTTTTTGGGTCCTTTAATTGTGGAAGTCTGTCACATTGTGCAATACTTGATCCGTTTCACTATTTCACATGAAATAACCATATAAAATTAAAGTGGTGATATTTCTAATGTTTTTAATGAAATGTGCTGATATAATTTCTAGTATTCAGCTAATACAAGAAATAAGAATTATTCAAATCTGACAATTTATAGTTATGTAATCAATAAACTCTGTTAAAATGATGAAAAGAGTCAATTTTACAATTTGAACTTTGTGGGTTTTATAGTAGAAATGTGCAGCCTTTAACCTAAACTATTATACATGTAATATGCTTAGTTATGAAAACTTTTTATGTAAATTGCCGTAAGTTCAATATTTTCAGAAACTAATGCTAGCTTCTGTATTCCAAATGTTTCTGCAGCTTGTAGTTGCAGTTACATTTGGGTGTAAATGCAATTTACTCTTTTGCAGATGTTCAGTATGTAAAAGCCATGCTTGCTTTGATGTAAATGCATAGATTTAAAATGGCAATCGTTTAAACAAGATTAATATGCGGTAATTGCTGAAAAAGGTTTTAGACATGTACATATGTTAAATTTAGCTGTCACTCCCAATAATGTGATAATCCATTACTTTCTTATATATCTAATTTTCATTAACTTTACTTGCTTTGTTACTCTTGTTTACCTTTCATAATGACTTTTTATAGAAGACTGTAGCTTTCTGATAATAGAAATTGAGAAATATTTCCTACGATGTTGATTTAATTTTGTTTGGCAAAACTGTTGAGGATTCTTGCGTCGAGTCGTTTGTTAAGCTGGATTGCAGTTGCCACCTTGCCAAAACCATGTTCCTTAGTAGCTCCATTTGAATATCATTTAATTCCATATCCATTTCAGCCGAGTTCATTTGTTGAGAATTCATATTCACCATGAATTCCATGCAAGAATCTAGGCTAGAAATGTAAATGCTGATTGACAATAAACTATAATATAAATGCCTGTTAAAAACTATAAATTTTGAAGTAGGATATGAAGGAAATATTTTGATTGTTCAGTAATTTTGGTCTACCAGTACCCAAGTTGCTGAATACTGGTAGGAGTGAAGTGCAGAATTGCCCATTTATTTGGTATGTTTAGTTTGGTGCTTTTTACAAAAGTAAGAAAAATCGGATTTTTGTCAATTTCCTTAGACTTTTTAAGTGAAAAATAGATTGATGTGTACATAGACAAAGTTAAGGGAGTATGCAATGCAGAGTTTGTGCAATTATTTTTTTAGTGAAAACAAGTCAATGTGTACATGGATACAAAGTTTGTGCAATTCTTAAAAATGTGCCAAGCAGTTGGTGATTCTGCACTTACCCTTACTGGTAGTTTGGTCTGGGGTTTAAATTTCACGAATGAGCTGGCTGCATGGTAGTTTTTCTCATGTGTAACATGTATACAGATAAATTTCTCTTAAAAAGCTCTCCACACAGATATCTCTTGCCTTAGGCAGATAATCCCAGAGTGCTTTGCCGTAATGAAATAAACCAAACCACTAAATTGTATTTATTTATTCCCCAATTTTACACTCAATTCCTTTTTTGCAGTAGTATTGACCAATGAAGTTGTTAATGTATTAAGTAGTTATTTCAAAATTCTCCTAAGGATGTAAAAAAGTGTTGGTATTAGAGCAGTAAACAAATAAAGTTGATAATTTAACCTTCTGAGTGCCTATATTAGCTTATATCTTGCTTTCTTTAATAATGTAAATGTTACTTTTATAAATGAAAGTTAATGAAAATAGACACATGAACATTATAATAACATCATGAATTAGCTAATAATTATTTAAATACATGATTGATGATTTCCAAATCTCTACTGCTAAGTTAAAGAGATATTTTATCATTTCTTTTTGCTTTTGCATTTTAAATTTGTGTAGTCAAAATTTAAGTAAATAAAAAGTATTTAAAAAAGAGTTAGCATTGTGGAAGTATAAAAATAGGCAGGAAGTGTTTTTAAAAATGCCAATTAGATCATGCGTTATCAGTTTTAAAAATTGAATTTTTAACTTGTGTGTTAAAATTTTTATATTTTCTTCTGCATAGATTTTTTCTGTGCACTTAAGTTTTTGGAAAAATCTATTGAATTAAAATCTTAAATTAATATAGTTAATACTTTTTATTAAATGTAATATATGCATTAAAATAATATTTCTTGGACTTATGGATTTGGACACTAAAGTTGCTTATATTGGCATTTATATTATTAAATTTAAGCTAACCTGAGTTTAAATCCTGAGGTAATTGACAGATGTCAAATTTAAAGATACCTAGAGACTTTGCAGACAAAGACAGCTTGCCTATATAAATAGTTTACAGGAAAGCAGTTTGAAAAATAAATTTTGAACATGTTAACAAAAGGAACAATTTTATATTTAAAACAGATATTTATAATTCATAATGTTACTGAAGCAAGTTTATGCAATAAGATTGTAATTTATAATGGTTTGTGCAATAAGATTGTAGTGTACAAAGGTCTGAATTGCTGGATGATTGAATAAACTTGGTAAGAATATTTACATAAGAACTTGGGGATAATGATGCACAGGCAATGCAATAGAAAAGTTAAACATTAAAATGTGATGCACAGGCAATGCAATAGAAAAGTTAAACATTAAAATGTGATGCACAGGCAATGCAATAGAAAAGTTAAACATTAAAATGTGATGCACAGGCAATGCAATAGAAAAGTTAAACGTTAAAATGTATCCAATAGTAATGAAAGTACTTTATGTGACTGTAACAATTCCTAATGAGAAGATACTTGTATATGTATAAATTTTTAAAAAATTATATTAGCAACTATGCCTTTACAAATATATAAGCATAATATTTAAATGCTCAGCTTGCTGCTTTTTTTCTGTGCCTTTGCAAAAATTTATAGGTATTTCGCCACTTATTTAAATATTTTTATTGTATATTGTAAATTATTACTTGCTCATATCAGTGTCTTACTTGTGAATACTTAAATTTCTCACATTTTCTAGTTCATATCTTTTCACTAACAGATGTGTACTCCCAGTATTTGTTTATGCATATCTGTTGCAGCACTTTGTCATTAGCTTGAACGGTTTACCAGATGCTTGATTTAAGTCTATCAATCTTGGACCAAGCACATTTTGTAATATCTACCCAGTTTAGTATAAATTCCCATGAAGCTATACCTTTTTGTATTAAGTTTAGGTTAATGGTAAAAATTTACAATTGGGTGCCTCTTGTTTTTGGCAATTTTTTTAATGCCAAGATCGGTGCCAGGAATGCACAATTTCAAAATGGCCGCTACACAAAACCAAAATAAGAGTCAAAAAATGACACAAACTCTGTGTCCATGTATACATTGATATGGTCTCTCTTGAAAAGAAATCCTAGAATTGTACAAACTAGGCATTGTGCACTGCCTTAAATTTGTCCACGTACACATCAATTTATTTTCATTTAAATAAAATCTGGAAGCTAAAAGTTAAAACTATCATGGTAACCAGAAGCGAGGTTTCATCGCCAAAATTTAATTTGTCGCTAATCAAAAGGGCACCTAATTCTACACTAGAGCCAGGCTAACTTGTTGAACTCGGTTCGTGTATCTAAATTATGACCTTAAACTATTTATCCATTTACTTTTGACATGATTAAGAAAAGCACAATTTCTTGTTCGACCAGGCATCTTGGTGTTCTGTCTCCATTCCCACACTGGTCCAATTTAAACGTAAGCTGTGCATGAAAATGAGATGCTTATCTTGGAACCAAATCGAGAAAGAGGCCTTACATGTGCACCTTACAATTACTACTCCAAATTGTCGACAGTGTTGAGTAGGTTATTTGAACATGTTTTATTGTAGAAATTTCTGTTTATTTAATAAATTCATAAATAATAGTGAGCTTCAGATCTTTGTGTAGGATAGTAGTTTTGATATAGTAAAGTAAATCAGTAATAATCCTAAGGAAAGTATTCTGAAATTTCTGCAGAATGAAGATGTATCCATTATGAGCATTTGCTCAGCAGAAGAGTATATCCCAATAAGCCCAACTGCTGAGATCTAAAAATGTCTTGTGGCTAAAATTTATCAATTAATACAAGTTTGAAAATTGTATCACATGCTTTAGCAGCAACCTTTTTTTATATGCATCCATCTGAAAAAAAATTTGCTATAAGTGATCTTAAGACACTTTTTCTATCTTGACAAGAGAATTTTTAGTGAAGAGGTATTTGTTGTGATAGTAACTTTTGCCTGTGTTAATAAGTCATGAGAAATTTTGACTTTTCTGTGATTTAATCTTTTGTACAGAATGTTTATACTTCTAATATTTTGACCTATGTTCTTTCTGGACCCTGTTAATTTAGATAAAATTTTGGTATCTTCTATATAGCAGGCTTATAAATTATTTATTTTCAAATCCTGGGAAATTTTACATAAGGAATGAAATACAGTAATTTTTATACGTATATGGCATGCAGGTATGAATTGTCTTGCTACGCATGTTTTGTTGTGTGACAAAAATTAAGTAGAAATGAAAAAAAAATGAGAATTTGGTTAGTTGAATAAGTTGAATTAATTTTTAGAAAGTCTCATGCCATATGTAGTCAAAGTTAATACAATCAAAAGTCTTTAATTCGGAATCGGGACTTCGGCGATTCCGGATTATAGATTATCAATTAAATCTGGTAAGATGGCATGCAGAAATTATAAAATTAAAAATATGAAACTGTAATTTATGAAATAAAGAGCAATTATGATGTAAAGGGTATTAAAATTTACAAAAAAGCTTAATATTTATTTGTTTAAACATTTCTTTCAACGTGTGCAAGTGTAAAGCA